AGTTTAGCTTAGCATTTCTACATTTATAAAATTTCTGAAATTTTTAACTCATCAAAACATATAAACATTGTTTATTAAACAATCATGGTCAAGTTGTCAAAAAATAAAATAATTTGTGTAGTCGGCAATAGCTCTCGATCGCATGCATTCCTGTCCAAACCTGGTGTGTGTGTGTGAGTGTGTATATATATTATACACATCTCTACAATATATATATACATATATATATATATATATATATATATATATATATATATATATATATATATATATATATATATATATATATATATGTATGTATGTGTGTGTATATATATATGTATGTCTATATATATATGTATATATATATATATATATATATATATATATATATATATGTATATATATATATATATATATATATGTATTTATATATATGTTTATATATATATATATATATATATATATATAAATATATATATATATATATATATATATATATATATATTTATAAATAAATAAAAATTAGTACAAAATCACTCAACAAAAGTTTTTCTCATTCACAGAATTAGGGTCAGCATTAAATATGTTTGGGGTTGACAAAATTGCCGACCTCAGTTTAATATTTCATGGACAGGAACCTTGACAAACAAGGCCACTGCGCAGAGAAACAAATTAAGTGCAGTACCACCAGAGACATGAAGGGGATTAGGAACCTCTTGCTTTTGGAGTGACTGCTCTACCATTACCACAATTTTATATATATATATATATATATATATAAGTATATATATTTATATGTATATATATATATATATATATATATATATATATATATATATATATATATATATATATATATATATATATTTATATGTATATATATATATATATACATATATATATATATATATATATATATATATATATATATATATATATATATATATATATATATATATATATATATATATATATATATATATATGTGTATGTATATATATAAATATATATATATATATATATACATATATATATATATATATATATATATATATATATATATATATATATATATATATATATATATATATATATATATATATATATATACACACATAAATATATCTATATATATATATGTATATACATATACATATATATATATATATATATATATATATATATATATATATATATATATATATACACATATATATATAAGTTAGTAGAAAATTACTCAACAAAAGTTTTTCTTATTCACAGAATTAGGGTCAGCATTAAAAGTGTTTAGGGTTGGCAAAATTGCCGACCTCGTTTCGATGTTTTATGGCAAGATGTTTCATGGACAGGAACTTTGACAAATATACATATATATATATACAAACATATTTACTTGTATAAATAAATATTCGTTGTCTTCAAAGTAACTTTTCTTCTGATGAGTCTTATCTCTTGCAAAGTTCACCAGACCTACTTGCTTTTTGTGAGACTAATTTGAGTTCAGCTGTCTCATCTTGTGATCTTAGTGTTGATGGTTATCTTCCTTTAATTCGTAAAGACTCCAATAGTCACATGCTTGGCCTGGGCATTTAAATTCGTAAGAGTTCACCCATTTGTCGGGAAACTAGGTTTGAATCCACAGACTACTCTTTTATGTGCTTTCGTTTAGCACCACTTCACTCTATCACCTCTCTCTTTGTTCTATATCGCTCTCCCTCATCTCAAGACTCCACTCTTCTTGATATTATTTCTGATTATATTGACCAAGCCCTCATTCTTTATCCATCAGCCAATATTGTTGTTGTTGATGACTTTAATGTTCATCACACTGAATGGCTTGGCTCTAGTGTCAGTGACTCTTTTGTCTTTCTCAATCCCTAACTCAAATAGTCAACTTTCCAACTCGCTTTCCAGACAACCCGAATCATTTAACTTCTCTACTCGACTTATATCTTGTTTCTGATCCTAGTCAGTGCTCAGTTTCTTCACACTCATCCTTAGGTGCTTCTGATCATGGTTAGGTCTCTCTAAAACTATTATCTCATTTTTCTTTACTATCAGAATCCCCTTATCATCGTACATCTTACAACTACCTTAAAGCTGACTGGGACTCTTTCTGTGATTTTCTTTGTGATGGTCCCTGGGTAGAAATTTTTCGCTTTCAAACTTTTCGTTGACAAATGTGCTTCTTACATAACTTCGTGAATTCAGGCTGGCATGGAATCCTTTATTCCCTCTTGACGATTCCAGGTCAAGCCTCACTTTTCTCCATGGTTTTCTTCACATTGTGCTGCTGCAATTGCCAATCGAAACCATTACTTCCGTATCTATCAGCAAAACAATTCTTCAGAAAACAAAGGTCTGTTTATTACTGCTAGGAACCATTGTAAAAAGTTTTTGTCTAATGCCAAAGCCCGCTATTCTCAGATCATGAAATCTCGTATTTCATCACAAAAATTAGGCTCTCCTGACTTCTGGAGAATCTTTAATAGTATCAATAATAAGGGCAAGTCTGTAATTCCACCTCTTTTGTTCAGACTTTGTCACCTCACCTAAAGACAAAGCTGAATTGTTTGCCAAGAACTTTTCATCAATATCATCTCTTGATGCCACTAGTTGCGTTTTACCTGATAAAGCCATCAAACAGGTTGGTCTATTGCTCGACATTCGTATCACTCCAGCTTCTGTATCTAAAGTGATTTTCCGCTTAGACTCTTGTACAGCTTGCGGCCCGGACAACATACCTGTTATAGTCTTGCATATGTGTTCTCTGGAGCTGTCGTCTATCCTTTCAAAACTATTTAACAAGTGCTTATCAGAGTCTTGTTTTCAAGCCTGCTGGAAAGCAGCTTCTATTATCCCTATTTTTAAAAATTCTGGAGAGCGATCTGATTTGTCTAACTACTGTCCCATTAGTCTTCTTCCTATAATAAGCAAGGTTGTTGAATCTTTAATTAACAAGCACTTAATCTCTCATCTCGAATCTCATAGCCTACTTTCTGATCATCAATATGGATTTCGATCTTCTTTTTCTATGGCTGATTTGCTATCAGTAATAACCGATAGGTTTTATCGCGCATTAGATAAAGGTGGAGAGGTTAAGGCCATTGCTCTTGACATTTCTATAACGTTTGATAAAGTTTGGCATGATGGTCTTCTCTATAAGCTTTCTTCCTACAATGTATCTGGAAACATCTTTAGGAATATTGAATCCTTCCTTTCCAATTGTAGTATAAAAGTTGTCCTTGATGGACTGCACTTTTCTTCTTATTCTGTAACTTCAGGGGTTCCTCAAGGTTCAATCCTAGACCCTATACTCTTATTAACTTACATTAACGATCTTGCAGATATTCTCACATCTAAGGTGGCATTGTTCGCTGATGATACTACCATTTATTTTTGTCATGATAAGAAGCCAACTCTCTCTGATTGCTTGGAGGGGCATTTGAGCTTAAAAAGGATCTCACTTCTGCTACAGCATGGGGCTCACAGTGGCTGGTGAACTTTAATTCAGATAAAACTCAATTTTTTTTGGCCAATCGTTATTGCAATAGTTTAGACCTTTCTATATTTATGAACGGTAATGTACTTGATGAGTCTCCTACCCTTCATCTTCTAGGATTAACTCTTACTTTTGATCTTTCTTGGAAACCTTATATCAAATCTGTTGCAAATTTAGCATCTGCTAAAGTTGCTTCTCTTTATTGAGCTCGTCACTTTTTTACTCTGGAATTTATTTTCTATCTCTATAATTCTCAAATCCGGCCTTGTATGGAATAGTGTTGCCATATCTGGGGCGGGTCTTCTAATGATGCATTTTCTCTTTTAGACAAGGTGCAAAAACGCATTGTAAACATTGTTGGGCCTGCTCTTGCAGCCAACCTTCAACCTCTGTCACATAGTCATAATGTTGCTTCTCTTTCTCTTTTCTACAAATACTATAATGGGCACTGCTCGAAAGAGCTAGCGTCTCTTGTACCATCTACTAAAATTCATTCTCGTGTTACTTGTCATTCAATCAAGTCTCATCCATTTTCTGTTACTGTTCATAAGTGCTCTAAAAACTCTTATTCGTCTAGTTTTTTTCCTCGAACGTCAGTTCTTTTGAATTTGCTTCTTTCATCTTGCTTTCCTGATTTATATAATTTGCAATCTTTTAAGTTGTCTGTCAATCGTTATCTTGCTCTACAATCTTCCTCTTTTCTCTTCCAGTAACTTCCAACACTATTTAGTGGTTGCTTGCATCCTCGTTGGAAGCGAAGATAATTAAAAAAAAAAAAAAAAATTCAATAATTAGCTTCTTTACATTATTTTTACTGTATTTAAAAGCATTTTGTTAATATAAAAACGTTAGTAAAGATAAGCGTTTTGAAGTTATTTATTTTCAACGTTAATCAAAACGCTTTTTTTTTCAGTGCATTTGTTAAAAACTGTGGTTAATTTGTAAAAACAAAATACTTTTTGCGTGGCCATATAAAGGCTTGAAATTGCAAGCCTTCCTGGCCAAGCCTATATATATATATATATATATATATATATATATATACATATATATATATATATATATATATATATATATATATATATATATATATATATATATATATATATATATATATATATATATATATATATATATGCCATATGTAGCAAGCAAGACTGTTTTTTACCAAAAAATGGATGTTTATGACTGATACTGATCATCCTTAACATTTTTTCCCAAGCCCCCAAAATCTTATTACAGTTTTATTTCTAAATTCATAGTATTATACTTTTATATTTATAATAATTCTTAGTAAAGAGCTTTAAATTTAGCAGGAAAAAAAATTGTAAATAGGTTTATGGCATATATAAAAAATATTGAGGTGTTTTGTTGCCAAATTGATAAACAGGAAATTTTTATTATTGCCTTATTCTTTTATTAATATGCATTTCTACTTATTCTTTTTGTTAATAGATGTTTTGTTAAATTGGGTGTAACCAATATAAACATTTAAACAATATAATTTATTCTTTAGAGAGGAATTGGATATCGATCTAAAAGATATATTCTACAAAGTGAGATGCATTTTATTTCCGCTACCACAACTTGGTTTTGAAAGAAAAGTTCTAAAGGAAAATCCTGACTTTTGGGGACCATTAATAATTGTACTTTGTTATTCATTGCTGTCTTTATATGGTCAATTTAAAGTAAGCTTCATAAATAGTATTTCTTAAACATTTTTAGTTGAATTAGTTAAAAAAAATGAGGAGTACAATGTATAGTGAGTGATAATTATGAAATGATAAGGGATAATTGATTAGAGGTTTTGAAACTAATCCTTCCTTGTTAAAAGAAAAAATGAATGAGCAGTGGACATGAAAAGAAATGAGCTTAAATGTATAATTATGCGTAATTATTCGCATTATTTTATTTTATTACTACTATAACTCTTTATAACTTTAATCTCCAATGGTTCTAAATTTATGCATGGCAATAGTATGGTTCTACACTTATGCGAAATCATATTATTGCCACATAAATTTGCATAAAATGATCTACTAAAGTGTTGTTTTGTCTTATTGTTAAACTTAAGTGATTTCATTTTTAGCATTCTAGTGTAATTTGTAATGACATTCTCTAATTTGTTATTGGGTAAAAAATACAAATAATTATTTTATCAATAATAATTGCTAATAAGTTAACAAAAAACAAGTATGAACCGCAAATAGTTGTATTATTTTTAAGAATAATAATTACTAACTTTAGTTCCCTTCTGAGTTTAATCTTTAAAACCTTTAAAATCTTTGTTCATACAGAAATAACTTTAGTGACAACATACTTGATCCCAAAATGATTAATGCATACTCCTACAAATAACAAGTTCAAATCTTAAATATTTTTGTAGAAAAGCAATCTGAAACTTTGAGAACCTGAACCTCTACCTTTTTTCAGAATTTAAGAATATGTAATATCTTATCTTGTTTCCTACAGAAGGCTGTTGGTTTGTTAATAATTTGTTTATAGGATAATTTGTTTATAGGATAATTGAGAAGGTAAACAGTTTTTCTAGGACTAGTAAAGCAGTTGTATTTTCTCTTTGAATCCATAAGTCATATATTTGCTTTCCTAATTTTACAAAAAAGACACTAAATATGTTTTTTATTAGCTCCTGAAAAAAAAAAAAAGGCTCAAAAAATATTTCAAGGTTTACTTAGGCTTATATATGCATTTTTGTTTATGGAATAATTATATTTTTACATACAATATAGAAACATAAAAATAAAAAAACTGATTTTTAAAACAATCGGCATAAGCCAATGGTTGTCAAGATCAATGCTAATATCGATGCAGTGGTGCATCCCTAATATATATATATATATATATATATATATATATATATATATATATATATATATATATATATATGTGTGTGTGTGTGTGTGTGTGTGTATATATATATCAGGCTTGGACAGGAATGGTGTGTGATCGAGTGCTATTGTTGACCACGCAAATGGTTTTATATTTTGACAAATTGACCACGATTGTTTATGTTTTGATGATTTAAGCATTTCAATGTAGAAACGCTAAGCTAAACTTAAACTAAAAAAAAAGTTTAAAAAAAAAACTATTGAAAAAAAAAATTCCTAACAAAAAAAGAATAGGTTGGTATATAGGTCGATAGTTAAGAGATTGCATTTTTTGTTTGAAATATAAAGATATATTTAAATTTTTATTATAATTTTTGTTTAAAATATAGATAAACTATTTAGTTAAAATAATATACGACCAGTTTAAAAAAAAATTAACATTTAGACATTGTATAATATGTTATTTTTCAACTATAAGTAGACTTATTCTACTCGTAAATCTTGTGTCAAGTCAACAATAATAAATATATAGACTTGTATTTTAATAATTCTATGTTTTTATAAATTTTTTATAATATAAATATATGTAAAAATGACAAATAAACTTTAAAATATGCATATAAAATTTATTTTATACTATTTCTACGACGTCAAGTTAAAATATATGTGCATGCGTTAAAATCGCTAAGTCAACAAATTTTCTATTTCTTTTTAAAAAAGCACTTAATTGATCACTTAAATTTTATTACAATACAAATACTTAATCTATGCAACATCTGTTATTGAAAAAAGTGTTGACTTATGGTATAAAAAATAATCGCTGTCAACTTTGAGTAGACCCAGGCTTATATATATATATATATATATATATATATATATATATATATATATATATATATATATATATATATATATATATATATATATATATATATATATATATATATATATATATGTATATATATATATATATATATATATATATATATATATATATATATATATATATATATATATATATGTATGTATATATATATATATATATATTTATTTATTTATTTATTTATTTATATATATATATATATATATATATATATATATATATATATATATATATATATATATATATATATATATATATATATATATATATATATATATATATATATATATATATATACATTGAAAAGTCAATCATCTAGTTTCATCATTTTAATAGTGATATAGAATATGATATCCTGATATAGAATCTGAATTTGAACCTAAAAAAAGTAAAACTGAATTCTTCTTTGCAAAATTGCTACAGCAGAAAATCCAGCAGTCACTTTTACATTTAAAAAAACCATAAATTCAATCATCAATATGAAATGAAATGAAATTTTGAGATGAAAGTGGGTTGCGAGGACCTTTTTTGTGAAAAAATTGTTGTGTATTCCTCCAACAAGTGTTGAGGCAGAGAGATCTTTTTTTGCCACTGAAACATTTTCAACAAATATCTGGTCAATATTTAATGATACAACATTGGATAATTTGTGCATGCTAAAAAGCTTTTTTAAAAAACAGAATTAAAAAAAAATGTTTTTATATATTTTTTTATTTTTTTTCATTGAATAGTTTTATTTTACTAAGTTTTAATTAGTTTAAAATTTTAATTAGTTTGAAATGCTTTGAAACTTTTTTTTTCTATCAAATTTTTTTTGCAATTCTGGAATTATATTGGAATTCCAAATGTCATTTCATGTAATTCCGAAAATTTAGGAAATCACTTTTTGATAAAAATTAGATTCACTAATTCTAACTAAAACTAAAGTTATAAATCCCCATTTTTCAAACCCAGCCATCAAAATGTTCAACATGTAAGGAGTCTTGCTAGTACTGCCACCCAAAAGGTGGTTTATTAGCTAAGTTATATCTCAATCCTATTGCTTAAATACAGTACATTAAAACTATTTCCAACTTCAGGCCAAAGTTACCCTCAAAGGGCCAATGTTACCCCATCTTACGGTACATTGCTTGAAGTGGGGGGAAAAAAAAGACAATGGGATGGTTTTCAGTCAATTAAAAATACCAACCTTCCTAATCATTATATTAGG